AGAACTAGGACCACGGCCGGAAGTCGCACAACAAGCCAGAAAGATCCTCCAAGCTTGCGAAATGACACCCACAGATGAACACCAGCTGTTATATGATGAACATAATCCATTTACAATCTGTGGGATTTCATACAAACCCATATATAGAGGGAAACCAGAAGAGAAATGTCCATTATGTGGAGCTAGCTTCTTCCCCGAACATAAAGGGAAATTGTGCCCAATTTGTGGTGTTGCGGAGATCGGTAAAGATGTTATAGGATTGAGAATCTGCCCCATACAGTTCCAGAGATAATTATGTTTAATTTATGTATCATTTTCATATAACTATCGTGTAAGGAATTATAGAATAAAATATTATTGTATGCCATTTTTGTTTCTTTTTGCGCGTATGGATGGAGTACATTTGAACTTTAAAACGAGTCAGAAACAGATTTTCTGGCATTACTAAATTAGAAACAGTCAATATAACCTGATTCGAAAACAATTAAATTGGACGATTTCTTTTGTACAATATTACTAAAAAAACATATCTATAAAGATTTTTATATTTGATTTAGGGCCTATCCCACTACTGGCCGATAGAGGCTCAGATAGCTTAACAACGTCACTGTCAGGTAACAAAATCTGATATTTCCATCAATATTTTACACGTTCGATTGTTATCAATTTACAATTCGGTGGGACAGGCCCTTAGTAGCGAAATTTAATAGTCAAAAAGTGTATTTTTTAAATTCTCTATCAAATTCTCGAATGCTATTGGTCGAAGCAAATGACATCTATAATGGCGTCGCTATCGTCAATACACAGTTCATCTACATTAATTTATAAGGAAATACACTCTTGAAGTATTTTACTATGAACACTATCGGAACTAGCTTTTAAATATAAATGAAAGTAATCATTAAATACCACTTGTTTGTACCAGGAATAATGAAATTTTAATAAAAAAATTGTCGTGTATTCTGAGTAAACATTTTTTGAACATAATGTTGTGTATTCTCTCGTGATTGTATTGTTCCACATTATAACACATTTTTGTGCTTTTCCAAAGTTATAGGTGAAATTTAAACACTTCAGACTTGTATTAACTCTGAGAACCAATCAAACACTTTGTTGTTTGTTGACGTCACAACACTCCAGTAAACTACGTCAGCATTTTAGTCGCACGAATATTATTGTCATTTTGTTTTTATTAGCTAAATGGTTTTTCTTGTGTCAAATTTTTTGTTCTGGTTATCTATAACAAGTAAAACGTTTAAAAAAGAATAAACACATGCATATTCCCTATTGAGGCTGTCTGTTTTTGGTTATTTTACCTTTTAATTAGGATCTTGTTATAAAAATGCAAATAAATTTAATTAGTAATATATGAGATCTTATAAATGAAACATCCAGCTTTTTAGTAATAATTTTATTTCTTAAATTACTATAACAGTTTTTAATTATTTTTATAAGAATGCCATTATTTTAACAAATAAAATAATAATTCCGTTTAACAAATAGTAAATTATACATCAACAGGAGAAGTATCTTCTTTTCTGTAACAAAAAGAAACAGTGTAAGATAAAATTGTAGTTAAAAGTATAATAGTGGTTGTTCACTGACGATATTGAACAGATACATATTGTGGTCTCTGTCTTTCTCTAAGGAAATGAGCAAGAGAACAAAATTCGTTCAGAGTTTGACTTAGTTTAAGATTATTTGGTAATTTTTTTATTATTCTTTATTTTTAATTATCCAATGTAAAAGTTTCTCTTAATATTTGAATGTTACAACATATGTATAAAATTCTATGCCGAGTATTTTTATATACTTTAATTTTAACATCCACAAAGTATGTAAATATGAAACATGTTTTTTTTATTTAAATATATACGTTTATTGTATGAAAAAGTTGTTTTATTTACATCATTATTAATTATTAATGTCTTTTTAATTAATTTAAGAAGCTGAGAAAAACTAAGACAAAAAAACACATTTTTAGATGTTTTGATTCCAAATGATTTAAAAAATTATACTCTGATGGCCATACTTACATTTTGACATTATTTGTTAATTACTTTAAAACAAACAAACTCAAGTAAGGCAACAATGTAAAGATAAAGAACGTTCTGTGGTGAGGACTAGAAATATACTGTGCTATTGCTCTTCTGAGTAACTGACGGACTGAGGGGGTGAGGCACTCCTTGGAAAGACTTTTATGAAACTACCCCCACTACTGTAAAACTACCTCCCACCATTCCTTCTGTTTTCTGACATTTCCTAACAATATATTTAAAATTATTAAGGATGAAAGATGAAAATAAAAATGGCATTGTGTTGTGTTAGATACTATGGTGCGTTTGTGTAGAACAAAGATAATCTATGTATAGATAAGTATACTGTAATTTTTTAATTCCAATTTTACACAGAAAATGTACTTACTTGTTGAGCATTTGCTGTATCTGCTCGAATGTCTTTCCTCTGGTCTCTGGCAGCAGGGAGCTGACAGAGAAGAGGAAGCCGGCGCCGCAGCACACAGCCAGCACCCAGAAGGCTGTATAGATGCCGTAAGACGCCGCTACGTCGCGGAAAAACCTAAAACATTCAACCTTATTTACTGCCCACACTTACAAGTTATTTAATACTTAATTAAATATACCTTTAAACTATAGTAATATCTCTGATAGTCCTTGTGTATAAAAAGGGGCTATCATAGCTATAGTTACTAGTTATTCGTTAACACTAATCTCTAAATTGCTTTCGCAATAAAATTTTGAACTTACATGAACCTCTATGAGATTGTATTGCGTAATTTTAAACAATTATATAATTTATACTAGAGTAATTAACTTTAACAACATAACCAATTAACAACTAAAGAACTATTCCCGTCAGGATGGCGCTCTGTTCCCATACGTCTAATGACATTGACAGCTGTCAGATAGGGACGGACATCTATGCCGATATTATAGTGTTGCGGCAATCCTAGTGAATCTAAAATCACAGGTTTGCATTGCCTTTTGTATGAATGGCTTTAGAAATGATGAAACAAGTTCAGTAAATTGTTACTGTTAGTAAAATTACTTGAGTCAATATGACTTTTTATTTTAAATTTAATTACATTTAACAGTTATTGATCATTTTAAACAAAAAAACCTTTTCTTTTACTTGAAGTGTATTTTATCAATTTTTCATAAGTATAAAAACACACCGTGTCCAGACGAAGCCAGCAAGCCAGCACATGAAGGAGGCGATGCCGCCGGCGAGGCACTTGGTCTTCGCGGGGAACATCTCCGCCACCAAGATCCACGGCACAGGACCCACACCTAATGGCATTAAATGTTCTTAATAACTTCGCGCAATATTAAAACACATAACCCATAACACACACACATACACATAACCCATTTAAAAAATCCCATTTATAGTATAGTCCGGTGTTTCTCAAAGTGGGCGATAACGCCCCCTTTTGGGCGTTTGAAACCTAGAGGGGGGCGTTATAGATCCCCAGAAAAAATTGGGGGGAGTTGATGGGGGTTCCGGGGGCAATGTATAATTTGTAATTTCACTTATTTTTAATGTATTTTAAATTTCACTAAAATTGTATAAAATGGGGGGCGCTGAAAAATCATTGATTTTAAAAGGGGGCGGTAAAAGAAATAAGTTGTTATACTTTGGTAAAGACTAATATTATTTTAATTGAAATATTTGTATTTTTATATATACACATTATTATATATAATTATCTTTTATATATACGAGGCTTCGTTTTGAGCAGTGTATACAAAAAGATGGAAGACATTTAGATGACATAATTTTCAAAAAATGAAATCCGCATTTGTACCCTGTGTTTTGGTAATTTGATTAAAACTTTATCTGCCACCAGACACCCTGTATTTAAATAACTCAAAAAGTACTGGGCCGATTTCAAAAAAAATTTTACCATTAAAAAGGTACGTTACCAGTGAGTAACACGTACGAAGTCGCGAGCAACAGTAAGTAAGAAATAAGAAAAGATCATACCTAATGTGAAGAGCACCATGTATATAACGAGGCAGAGCAGCGGGATGAAGGCGACATGCGCCACGTCGTACTGGTAGTGGGAGTCTAACAACGCGTATACACCTATTATACCCTGAAAAATACATTAAAATGGCTATTTTATTAGTTTAATGCGAAAAACGAACAAAACGTAATTCGCCAAAATAGCGAAGTGACAGACATCTGCATATATGACAATTTGTAAAACATTTATCATAGTGGGTAGGAAATAAATATCCCTGTCTATAAAAATATTTTAATATTCATCGCCTTATAAGCTGTGAAAGGATGTTTTTGTTATGAATGGTTTTTGGTTACCAAAAATATAGTAAGTCCCAAAGACGTAGTCCACATGAGCAGCTTCCTGCCGAGCCTGTCCACCACCAGCGGCGTGATGCAGCTCGTCACCACCTGCGGAAGACAAAATAATTAAATTGACCTCCCACATATAGTTAAACAAATATCTTACCTCTTACTAATGGAAATAAAAGTTTTAATGGATGGATGTTTGTTACTACGTGTCTCCAAAATGATTCAACAGATTTTGCCAAATTTGGCACAGATGTAGATCATAGTCTAGAAGAAGAGAAAGGGGAGAGAAAATACCACACAAACGGAGTCCTGTACGAGAACTAGAAACATATAGCTTAAATCTATAAGTTAGAACATATTTATTGTTATTTCTAAAACTATTTTTTTGTATTGTGTCAACAGACAATTTATCAAGGTGGGTAGGAAATAAATGTCTCCAACTATACCTGCACGACACCCATGATGATGGTGCCGTCTGCTGCGGAGATCCTGGTGCCCACCTTCTGCAGCAGCTCCTCCATGTAGAACAGCAGCACGTCGATACCTGACAGCTGCAGCAGCATCGCCAGGAACACGCAGATACCTGACGGGGAAATTAAAACTGAGTGTTTTTTTAAATATTAAAATCACGCTCTAAATAGGTAGTAGATACAATATTTGGCTTGTATCCGTTCGTAAAATTATTTTAACGATACTAAGATATATTCTAAAAATACCAACATAGTAGTGCCAAGGCCAACTCATTTAAGGATTCATTAAAATAATATTGAATGATCATTAAAACTGAATTATTAAAAAATATTCTCCATTTTAATGAACAACCAAATTTTAATTTTAACACAAACCATATTATAGTATTTTCGCTTTGCAATATTATATTATAACATTTCAAGATACTCACCTAGAGCCTTAACTTGACCTCTAGTCGCCCAGAGGTCACTTATCCTGGGCTCCTCCTTGAACTCCCGCGCGACCATCGCCTGCAGACCCTCCAACTCCGGCTGCACCTTCTCTCTG